CATACAAGTGTCCAGAATTTTAAAATCGGATTCCAGTAGAGAATGATTCAATTAATGACAACGATTTCTAATCTCCGAGAATGCTGGTTTGAGTAATGGTAATCCAGTCCTAACTGATACTCCCGGTGCTCAAGAATCCTTATCTTAAAGTTCCGAATGGAACTCCCGATGTACCCAGCATTACAGCTGGAACAATTACACATATATACGATACTAGAGCGCAAAGGGGGGGAGGGGGTAATGGATCTATAACTTTTTAACTGTTCACGAGTAGCTAGCCAGTCTAGCTACTGAAGAAGACTTGAATCTACATCAGTAGCTATGGGGTACCTGGAGCTCTGCAATTACTTTATTCACTCTCGTATTCTTGAAGATATCCTCACAGTGTATCCAAAATTTGCCAGTGCCGGCTACTAAACATATGGCCCTGTATGACTAACCATCCTGCGAGATGTGGACTTTTAGTACCACTGCTACCTTATTCACTCTTGTGTTCATGATATCCTCATAACGAACCCGGAGTCTGTCAGTGCAGACTACTTATCATATGCCTCTGTATGACTAACCATCCTGTGTGATGGGTTTTTTTAGCACAACGTAGCTCGCTTTTTGACACACTGTACTCCCCTTCATATAGTCTAGGGCAGCTGCACAAATGCAGATGTACCTAATGTATTAATTAAAAAATATTTCCTTAAGCACATTCAGTAGTTTCATTGCTCAATATTATATTTTATGAAAGGAAGAGGGCGATGAGCTGGGAAAGGGGGAGCTGGGGATGAGGGGGGGGAGGGAGGACGAGGGAAAGTGTGGATGTGGGAGAGGGGAAGACAATGGAAGAGGGGGAAGACAAGAGGGAGAGGTGGGAGTGTGAAGACGTGGGTAGGGGAAGAAGGGCTCTAGGGCACCCCTCCTGGTATGTGTATGTATATCATTAAATATATTTGGTTAAATATGACCGCACTGCAGCGTTGTTGATCTTATAGTATAAGCTTTCTATACGTTCAATAATTTTCTTACTCTCGGGATTAAGAAGAGTAATGAAGCTACACAAATTCATGGTAAAGAAACTAATGATTATTGAAGGGGTTCATTTTCTACAAAGTTTCGTTCCACTGCGGGAATGAATATACACGGAGCATTGTTCCACTCTGGAACACTTTCAGGTAAGGAATGAATATACAATGTGCACCTCATATAGTTATTCCTTACAGAAGATGTTCCAGAGTGGAACGAAACGTTGTAGGAAATATACCCTTCAATAATCATTAGAGATTATTTACCATTTCTCCTCCATTTCCACCAACATACTCTCCCTGTCTCCTCTCAGCACACACACGCCCTTGCTGCATCTCCATCCCTACCCACATTCTCCTGTCTCCCGTCTCCCTCCATGCCCCCACACGCCCTTCCCTCGTCTCTTCCCATACTGAACACGTATGCCCTTTCCCCGTCTCCCCCTTCCCTGTCTACACACATGCTCTTCCTCTGGAAGTCCATGCTTTTCCCCTCATTACTCAAATACGCCCTTCTGTCTCATCCTTCCCTGCCTCATCCCTCCCTGTCTCATCCTTCCCCACCATGAGAGCGAGAGCAAGACTGGAACGCGAACAAGCCAACGATGAGGTCACTGCCCAGAGCCCCATGCCCACTAGTCAGTTTTCATCACATGACATAACTTTGTACCTGGCCAATCACCTGACTCTTATCTACTCACTTCACCTCTACTCTTATTCTTCGGCTAATCACCCGACATAATTTTGTAAGCAACTGACTTCCCAGATTTATAAATCAATGTTTCCTCATGTCTTGTCATTCCTCACTTGAGAATGAACCTTGTCGGTTCGAAACATTGTGTAAATTATAATAAGTATACCGTTGGTTTTATTCTTTTCGCCAACCTTGAACAAATATGACATTCCGAGAAATCCTTTCCAAATTAAACCAAGATGCTAGAACACTGGTAAGAGGAGTAGAAGCCCTGAACGAAAAAATAATCAACAAGGAATATGTAAGTCATACAATACATATACAATAATATTTCTATTGAAACTGATTTTATAATTTGGTATCCAAGAAGACCTCTCCCAAGCACTTTCCTATTGAAAGTGCTTTTGCAATTCCTTATTGAAGAAGCCATCTCCCAATTAATTTGGTGAGAATTTTCTAACAAATGAAGAAACAAAAGCATTAGACAATTGGCCATGTCTTAGAGTATTTATGTTGCGAAATTCTACATTTCAAATCTTTAGATGTTTGCCCAACATAGAACCTATTACAGTCTTTACAAGGTATTTTATAAATAACACAATTATCACTACGAGGGCTATTTACCAACAGTATTTTCGTAATTAAACAATACATGTATATCAAAAAGTTTCAAGGCCTTGACCATAACAGCCCTCGTTGTGATAATTGCACCATAGCGTACCTGGTTCTTTAACCACTAGACCACACGACTCTACAAAAATGTTGGAAGTCGTGAGACTTCAAGTTGGGGTGAGGAATTTTCAGTTGCATATTGGCTTGGGGACCATTCAAGCTCGTTCGCATACACACACACACACACACACACACACACACTAATATATATATATATATATATGTCGTACCTAGTAGCCAGAACACACTTCTCAGCCTATTATGCAAGGCCCGATTTGCCTAATAAGCCAAGTTTTCCTGAATTAATATATATTCCTTAATTTTTTCTTATGAAATGATAGAGCTACCCATTTTATTATGTATGAGGTCAAATTTTTTTTATTGGAGAAAAAATTAACGTAGATATATGACCGAACCTAACCAACCCTACCTAACCTAACCTAACCTATCTTTATAGGTTAGGTAGCCGAAAAAGTTAGGTTAGGTTAGGTTAGGTTAGGTAGGTTAGGTAGGTTAGGTAGTCGAAAAACAATTAATTCATGAAAATTGGCTTATTAGGCAAATCGGGCCTTGCATAGTAGGCTGAGAAGTGCGTTCTGGCTACTAGGTACGACATATATATATATATATATATAATCTGCATACATATTTTATTCACTTCGGACAATCCAAGCCTCACTACGTTTCAAAGACTGTCAAATCTGCTATCCAACTGGAACTTTGGGCGTTTCCCTGCGGCGCCACTTTAGCTTGCTGGTGTTAGGTGATCCAAGGACTAGTCATATAAATTGCTAACTACCACATTGTGGATAACAACATTTAATTCTCTTTGGACCATCGGAGCCTTGAGCAGCAGATCACATAAAAAGCAGCGCGCAGCTCTACCTGCTGAGTTACCAGCACCCCTTAATATATTGACCAGACCACACACTAGAAGTTGAAGGGACGACGACGTTTCGGTCCGTCCTGGACCATTCTCAAGTCGATTGAGAAACATACTTCAGCCACGTTATTGTGACTCATCGCCTGCACTCCTTAATATAGAAGGAGTCCAAAGACACCTATCTGCTGTCCAACTGGATTTTTAAGCCTTCCAACGGCTCCAATGGTCCAAATTGAATAAAATATCAACAATATGGTGTTTAGCGATTTATATGACTATAACGAGTATCACCTGACACCTACATGCAAAAGTGGTATTCCAGGGAAGGCCTAAAGTTCCTGTTGGAGAACAGATCGGTGTCTCTGGAAACCTTCCTTACATTGTAACTTTACTGTCTGCCTCTAAAGTCATAATAATTCCGGATATGTTTCATTCCCCCGTCTTGGTCAGATATATATTCTACTCTACCTTGCCACTTTTGATAAGACATTCCTTACTTAGACGACATTTAATTTGTTGAATGAACCAATGAATATATATATGTCGTACCTAATAGCCAAAATTCACTTCTCGGCCTACTATGCAGGGCCCGATTTGCCTAATAAGCCGAGTTTTCCTGAATTTATATATTTTTCTAATATTTTTCTTATGAAATGATAAAGCTATCCATTTCATTATGTATGAGTAAACTTTTCTTTAGATTTGAGCTAAAACTAACGTGTATACATGACCGAACCTAACCAACCCTACCTAACCTAACCTATCTTAACCTAACCTAAACTAACACAACTAAGTCAATAATTTATGTTCCTAATATAAATGATAATTCAAATTAACTAATTGGAAACAATTCATTGAAAATAAAGAAAATCACGGTCTATTAGGCAAATCGGGCCTTGCATAGTAGGCCGAGTAGTGCGTTCTGGCTACTAGATACGACATTATATATTATTTAATTATTTATAAATATTATTATCAGTACTATTTAAATATTATATTAGTTGTTTAAGAGTTTTAGAGGGTGATGGTGTGTGAGGTCCGCAGCGAGGTCCTCTCCAGGCAGGTGCCGTCAACATGATCAGCTGACACGTCTCAGTGCAAACCCAGCCCCTGGTGCTGCCTCAAGCTTTGGTAAGACGCATGCAAGGTTCTCTACCGCTCGCTCCAGAGGGATGCACGTGGTATAGAAGTGGTAGTAACAGCAGTAGTAATAGTATTGATGATAGTAGTAAATTAATTGATGTAATAGTGGTAGCATATACAACGTACAAAAGTACAAAATCAGGAACTCTTTTAACAAAAAAAAAGAGCTAGAGAGTTAATGGCAAAGAACACAGGAATGACTGGTTAGTTTAGTGTAAATGTTTAATTTTAAATTATTAGAGGAACTAAATGATAACAAATTATTAATTCTGAGAAATCTTAGAAAGAGATGATAATAAACTCGCAAGGCTACAAGGGCTGGGTTGAGGCTATTGATAACTCTCTTTTGCGTCCTGAATCTCGTTTTCTGTTGCACCTGAGCTGGCGCCACTTACCATGATGCCTGTTGTCACCGCTATACCCCTCCCACAGTAAGTATTTGGGACAATATCACCATACCCCACGGACAAGAATGTGATCGCTATAAGCCACATGGTGTTCAACAAATTGGCATGTTCTTCGTCATGGTACCTGTTGGGAGAGCGAGAGAGCAGTGACAGGTAAGAGGGTCGAGGGTAGAGTAGCCACTTACCATGATTCCACAAGCCACAGCGATGGTCCTGCCACAGTACGTGTTAGGAACAATATCCCCGTACCCAACACATAATATAGTGACAGCGATGAGCCACATAGCGTTAAGCAGATTAGCATGTTCTTCATCGTGATACCTATAGAGTACAAGACATGACCATTAAAGTGACTCCCGGGGCTAGCCCGGGGTTAGGTCAACCACTGAACACCAATCAGGGTGGACAACAACCAGTAAGGGGCGTGGTTTCATCAACCGGGTGATTCATTGCAAGAACATGATTGGATGCAACATTTAAATGGGAGTGGTTTGATGCCAAGGGCTTAATCTGACGGTATACATCAAGCAGGCCGGTATCAATCTACACAACTAGATGGCTATTGGCCAGGAGGAGTTGGAGAGTGAGAGAGACAACACCGAACGTTCCGCCAGCAGAGGACGTTACGTGTGAGCACGTGGCGACAGTTAAGACCATGTGTTCATAGCTGTACTATATTGTAGTTCACCACACCAGCCCGTTCTTAAGCTAAGCCATTTTTGTATATATGTATATAACTTTTTTTTTTTAACTGAGCTTCATTCATAGAAATGAAGCTCAGCGACGAAAAAAACAGCTTTGGGCTTGGGTTACTAAATGAGCCCTTAACTGGGCCCTAGACGTACTCCGGGCCAGTCCCCATCGTGGCTACCCCACAACAACACTGTAGCCCCAACTGGCCCTGCAAGGGTGCTGAGAGGAGAGGTGAAGACGGTAAGGACTAAGGATAGAGAGAGATGTGCGAGGCTAGTTGCTTGCACCTTACACATTCTGCCACTCTGAGTGTGTACAGCTGCATCACCAACCAGCGCATCTCTCTTGGAGAGTGAATCAGGGGCTTAAGAACAATCTAGTGCATTAAATTAACTAGAAATATCTTTACCTGTGAGGGTAAAGTGAAGTCCTTTGGAATATCGTGAAAAATCATAAAAATACTGTTAAAAATAAGAATTAAATGTGAGAGATTCAACACATATATGTATATATATATATTATATATATATACTTAGTATTTGCATGCTTGTCATTGATAAAAAGGACTGGTACAATGCCTACAGAAAATGACTTTTCGATTTGCTGATTTCTGTCATCAGCCGCGCTGAGGCAAACACCAGGATCATCTGCTGATGAGCTGAGCGTCTGAAGCGGCCTCCTCGGGCGACAGGTCTCGGCTGATGGAAGCTTTCAGTCAAATCAAGAGCAGAGTACATTTTCCGGAGGTCGTCTTTGCTGACTGACCAACGAATTGAGAACGGAATGATGTTGGGGCTACTGTGCTGCGGGGGAATATTATACATGGTATAGAAAAATAATATATTGACAAGAAAAAAAAATAACTATACTAGAAGCCATGTCTAATAACGTAATTTTTCTAGGAGGCTTAAGAAACGAAAAAGATATATAACTGGAACGTCTAGTATGCCATTCACATCACTACTTAATGCTACAGTTGCTAGATTCCATTAATACTGTAATGTACGGAGGCCCGACTCTGAAAGTGAGCTCCAATTGCTATCAATATTCTGCAGGAATAAAATACAATTAGATGAAATTAACTATTGAAATTAGACAATGGGCTGAAGTACATCACGTTGGAAGTTTAAAAAAAAGGCATAATGTTAGCAGTCTATTAGTATGTCTAGTTAGCTATCAATAATAAAATTTCAGAAAAAAAATAATAATGCTTCAAAATTTTAAAACAGCAGAGGAAAGGTAATTTGAAGCGCCCTCAACATAATTACGTGCGTTGACAAAGAGCTAAGGAAAGGTAATTTCAAGCGCCCTCAACATAATTACGTGCGTTGACAAAGAGCTAAGGAAAGGTAATTTCAAGCGCCCTCAACATAATTACGTGCGTTGACAAAGAGCTAAGGAAAGGTAATTTCAAGCGCCCTCAACATAATTACGTGCGTTGACAAAGAGCTAAGGAAAGGTAATTTCAAGCGCCCTCAACATAATTACGTGCGTTGACAAAGAGCTAAGGAAAGGTAATTTCAAGCGCCCTCAACATAATTACGTGCGTTGACAAAGAGCTAAGGAAAGGTAATTTCAAGCGCCCTCAACATAATTACGTGCGTTGACAAAGAGCTAAGGAAAGGTAATTTCAAGCGCCCTCAACATAATTACGTGCGTTGACAAAGAGCTAAGGCTAGCTAACGATGCCACTCCAAGCTGCTTAAGCTCTCACTGCTGTTTTAGAATCTGGAAACAGCGAAACAAAACATAAAAATGAACATGCATACTGTCTCCGCATATGGAGTTCTAAGGGACATTCTAAACGCCATTTTTTTGGCAGAAAATAAATCATGTGATGGATATCTATATTGCTAGAGAGGTGGTGTGAAAGGAGATGGACACGCTGATCTGAAGACCATCTGAGCTGCATTCCGGAAAATATCTACGAAGAACAGCGAGGAAATTATCTGAAGAGGATATCTGAACATCAGTGTCATAGAAGCTAATTATGAGTGAATGTTTTCTTAAGGAGGATCTGGACTGCGGTCCGCGTGACTTGAAGCTTTATCTACGGTTATTTACGAAAGTGTAATATCACTATAAAACATTTATATACATATCCAGCTGAGATGGACATATTGATGGCTTCCCGGAAGTTATCTGAAGATAATAAACTTCAAATTAAACAGCTTAGTCCTCTGATTGAGTCAAGTAACTAGTTTACTAAACATACATATGCAAGAACCTTGCGTATGTATTCCTGCAGACATCTGACGTAGTATGTATACGGCAGGTGTATGTAGACAGACAGTTGTGATAAGAGAATACATCAATGGTTGAGCTGAGAGGGTCTGCAGTCAGAAAGGTTACACTGAACACTGTAATCTACTAGTCAGCGTGGAGGCTCCTGGCGAGTGAGTGGAGCCAGGTAACACTGTACTGATCTACTGTGTTTATGTTCAACTTAACACCTGGTACAGCATACCTCGTTTATCCTTCAATCAAGATTGCATGCAACACACTTCAAATATCTGACTTTATACTTTTGAATACCTTACAAATTTTTATCTACTTGATTATTTCCCTATATATTCATGCACTATTTTAAATGACTACAAAATGGAAAATTGTAAAAAAATAATATAGTATAATAGTTTTAATTTAATTAAACGAAATGGAATTTTCCATGCATGAGTGCAATGATTTTATGCATGAATATATTCAATTGTATACAATGTTTCAATACAGAACTGGCTCGTCTCATTCTTGTCAACTAATGAAGTTATATGAAAGATTCAGCTAAATATTTCGAGAAATTCTAAGTAACGGACACTCAGTCTAGATAATGAAGAGCAAATATGCAAACAATTAAATTATTTATTGAAATGACTTTCTTAATATTTTAATTCTGAATCTCAGTGACTAACATTATGGGAACACAAGGTTTTTACACAGAACGTATGATTAAAAATACATACATCCATATGTAGAATAACCACATGTGAAAAATAAAGAATGTTTAACGCGTTTTCGGCTAATTCGCCTTCATCAGAGCAAAGTAGAATGAAAATGATCTTCATTCTACTTTGCTCTGATGAAGGCGAATTAGCCGAAAACGCGTTAAGCATTTTCTATTTTACACATGTGGTTATTCTGCATACTAGGATCAGTGTTTTTGTGATCATTGTTGCATTTTATATATATATATATATATATATATATATATATATATATATATATATATATATATATATATATATATATATATATAATATAGGTGTAACAAAAATGATAGGTGTGTTCCCATTAATATATCGTGAATCTGGAAGTAACAAAAATTCATCATTTGAAAGAGCTCTTAATTACATAATGACTAGGAAACTCTCCATAGAAATTTATGCAGAGTATATTATTCATGTGTGTGTGAAGTTTTATATGCCTAGTTTGTTTTATTGCAAGTGGAGAATATGTATTTTGTTGTAGGTAGGTAGGTAGGCCTAGCTTTATGTGTTCGTAACAAGACTAATGGGCAACCCGTCCTAATAAACCGTCGCATTTTGACGTATACTCTACACAAGGCCAAAAATAGTCGTATAAGAAAATTGTGGCGGCTCGCGAAATCGAAATACTGTCCCGTTTTCTGTTTTGGGTCCTCTGGTTGAATAGGTTAGGGAAACTCTAGTACGACGGTCTCTTGACGTTGTGGAAACATTACGAGGACGGGTTGACATTAGAGAGGCGAGTCACACTCAGAATACTGCAGCTGGGACACCTTAGTCTTCGCACTTCTGCTGAAAAAACTTACATATGGGAGTCAAATATTTAACTATTACACGAATCAGTTCAGTCCCCTTGGACTGGTCGGAATAGCGCCAGTCTCGCTTCCTGCAGGTCTGCGTTCTATCCCCGATCGTACAAGTGGTTGCTCACCTTGCCGTCCTATCCGCCATATCCTTATATTCCTTTCAAATGCTCTATTGTTGCACCGGCTTAGTGCTTTTTCATCATAATTCCCTTTTCTTACATGATCAGCTTTTGGGGATAATCATCTATCCCCGTGATGTTCCCGTGGCGCAGTGGTAAAACACTCGCCTGGCGCTTCGCGAGCGCTTTGGCCTAGGTTTGTATCCTGGCGGGGGAGGATTGACTGGGTGCCAATCCTTAACGGTAGCCTCTGCTCACCCAGCAGTGAATGGGTACTTGATTGCTAAAGATTTAGCGGGTCATATTCCGGGGAAAAATTTGTATTAAGGAGCTAGCGGAAACATTATGCGAGCGAGTTCAAGTTCAAGCACGTTTATTGAGACACTAAACTACACCTCTCAGTGACTAGAACTTGCAGGTTAGTGGCTGTACAAGATGCAAGGTGTTTAAGGTATCGTAAGACATGTCCAGTATTTTAATAGGTAAATAACACGAGCTCAGAGATCGATGGCTAATGTATTTATGCTTTCAATTCGTAACAATAACTTTTGGATGTACAAATTAAGAGCAATTCATTCTTTCAACCGGTATTAAATGTTTTAATTTTTATTTCCCTTATTTACCAGTTCGTGATGATGAAAGAATATATGGAAACATCGACATACGTAGTGAACTTCCAAATACTCTTAGCTTTCTTCTTGCCTACTACGAATACTATTTTC